AAAGCGGGGGGAGAAGGTGCAGACAGGCCATGGGGGCTGGGTGGAGTGGAGAAGGATGGGCACTGTGGAATGCAAGGCCAGCCCGTAACACAAGCAGCAGCAAGAAAGGGCCAGCACCAATCTCCCCAGAAACCTGGTCCTGAGCTCTGGGCCCAAGTTCATTAAAAACCACAGAGCTGACAAGACTAGCCACCTACAGTCAATGGCTGGAGTGTGAGAACCCTACCCAGAGCGCCTAAGGCTGCTCTGTGTGAATTTGGAAAGACTGCTGGCAAGGTGGAGGGGACTGGCAGTGTGGTGTTCACCTCATGGGGACAGAAGCTGGACCCATGGAAGGTATCAAACAATGACATCATCAAAAATGTCACAACAGGAATGTGACATGTGAGAGCTGGGAAGTGAATCCTTGCAGCAATCCCAGACTGGTCACATGTTCCCTAGAGGAAATGTGCTTGGTCTTGGTTTTTGCATTATAAGAAATGAATGATGGAAAAAAATGGGGGAGGGGGAGGAAGAGGGATTGACTTTAGAAAAATGTTAAAGGAACAGACTATTTAAGGTCAAGGGGCAGCTTTAATAGACTTCTTCAAGCGGAAGGAAGGTTAGAACAAAATTACTCTTCAGCTGGTCTTCACTGACACAAAGGCCTAATGTGCATGAAACAAGTGGAAATCCAGTTAGATATGGGTGAGGGGGACTGGGCACCATGGGCCACCCCTATAATCCCAGCACTTAGGGAGGATTGCTTGAGGCCAGGAGTTTGAGACCAGTCTGGGCAATAAAGTGAGACCCCGCCTCTACAAAAAATTTAAAAATTAGCTAGGCGTGGTGGTGTGTGCCTGTGGTCCCAGCTACATGGGAGTCTGAGGCAGGAGGATCACTTGAGCCCCAGAGGTCAAGGCTGCGGCGAGCCGTGTTCACACCACTACACTCCAGTCTGGGCAATATACAGAGACACTAGACATGGTCTCAAAAAAAAAAAAAAAAGATATGGAGAAGGGACTTTTGGCTTAAAGGGGAAAAGTTAGGTAAGTCTTCTATAAACAGAGGTTCTCTGGAGTCTTTATTCCTGAATGTTGCTTTAAAAAAGATTCTACTATATTGAACAGACATTCGATTTTCTCTTTTACTTCCCAGCAACTTAACCTCTCTGAGGTTTTCTCACATTAGTAAAACCTCATAGAATTCCTATGAGGATTAAATAAAATGTCTGCTATAGTACCAGCACACAGTAAGAATTCAGTAAATGGGAACTAGTATTTTTATTTCTTTGTCAGGCACCATAGTAAGCACTGGAGATAGAAGAATGGAGGGCTCCTTTGTCGCATCCTCTATTATTTTCTTCCGTGCACTTATCATGAATTTCATATTTATTTGTTTACCCATCTGTCTTTTCGTCTAAAATACTAGAGCAAACACATCATGAAAGCAGGCCTCCTTGGATAACCAGGATCTTAGATTTAAAGGGGACACAGCCTGAAACTAGATCCAACTTCATTAAGTCCTTCTGCATCATCTCTCCTTCAAAGATGCCTTTTAAAAGCTGGGTTTTGTAGTTCTTGCAACAAAGAAATCCTTTTGTATAGGACAAGGCCTTGAGTGTTTAAATTCAGTACTGAATCAAAGATTAGTGACTCTGGCAACATGAAAAGGACTTACAATGACTGTTACTATTATGTAGACAACTGGTCATGAGACCTCTTTGCAAACAGGGGCATTCTAAATGACAAAAACCCATGACAGATGCAGATGCTAGAATGGCAAATGCTTTTTCAAGGAACCTCAAAAAAGAAAAGGGACACCCACACTTTTTCATCAGAGCTGGGTATTTAATGCCACACGGCCTTCGTGCCAGCAGCACGCCTTCCCCAGGGCTCCATTCTTCCCATTTCTACATGGGACAACAGAGCACAGGTATTCTCCCTAAGGCACTCAGCTCAACAGTGTGGAGCTTAACCCAAAAAGCATTCACTGGGGACCTACTATGAACATGGTACCACATGCAACGCAAGGGATTCAAAGATAAAGAAGACATGGTCCCAGCCCTCCAAGGACTTACAGTCCGGTGGAGGCAGTCAAGGATACAAACCACCAATTATTGTAGATGAAAACAACTCACATAAGGGTAATGGTTGAACCATGACAAATGCTCATATTCAAAGGAGGAGAGGAGGGAACCCAGGCTAGGAAAACAGCACAAGCAAATACTGAGTCTTTAAAGCTGACAGCCCATTTAGGACAGGAAGCAGACCACTGTGCCCAGAGCACACAGTCAAGCTGGGGTCAGATAAAGGACATCCTGGGGTGGCAGGCTGGTAAGTCCAGACTTAAATTTAAGAGTAAAGGCAAGGAGGGTTTGGCAGGTGCAGGTGGGGAGCCGTGTTTTACGTTTTCAAGTCCCCAGTGGTGCTATAATCCATACGCCCATGTTCCTAATGACCAGCTGAGGCTGCGATGCTGAACCGAGGGTGAGGTTGGTGGTGGCGCTTAACAGACTAGGCACCCTCCCCAGCAGGAATCCAAGGGATGGGGAAGATAATCCCAGGGCAGCAGAGCCGGAGACCCAGGACAAACCAGCAGCTTCTGAGCTGGGCTGTGAGCTTGCCCCATGCAGTCCTGTTTCCCTCAGATATACAACAGGAAGGGGCAGAGAGCACACAGCAGTGCCTGAGAACCCAGGCTCTGGAAAGAACAATGCACTCCAGCCCCACTCTGTGTGCCCCAGATACATTCCCCAATCCCAGCAGCCCCAGGTCCTCACCTGCCAAAGGGTCAAAACAGGATTAGGGGATGTTTAGCAGCTAACCTGAGCTGAGTGCTTCCTCCGTACCAGACACCGTACCAGTGCTTCACGTGCTAATTTATTTAATTCTCACCCTGTGACACAGGTGAGAATTCTATCATTGCCCCATTTACTGACAAGGAGGCTAGGCACTGAGAAATTCCAGAATTTGTCCAAGGTCTCACAGTGAATGTGTGCTGTGCCAGAACTGGATCAACAGTGTGGAGCTTAACCCAAAAAGCATTCACTGGGGACCTACTATGAACATGGTACCACATGCAACGCAAGGGATTCAAAGATAAAGAAGAAAGGACCTAGCCACAAGGTCATTCATTGACTGGGGCTAATATATGATGGCTGTTAGTTAATGCTGGTCCTAAGGACAGCAGGGGAAGACACCAAGAGTGAATGCCTGAGTGCGGTGGGGCCTCAGTAGTGTTCCCCCTTGGGACACCTACTGCTTTGGCTGTCTACCTCCAGGGCTCTGGCCAGGCCCCTAGGGACTTCTCACAGGCCCTCAGCAGACAGGACTTCCTGTTCTGCCAGGTACTGAAAGCCAACTGAAATCCCATCCAGGACTAGGCACCCACACCAGACCTGACCCACGGCTGCCAGGCACAGCCCTCCTCCTTACCGTACACTGGGCTGGCCTGGCTTGGAAAGCTGTCATGAAGCCTCAGAGCAGACTCACTGATGTGACCAGCTCAGGTCCCTCCCAAATCAGCTCCAGCATCCCTGGGACAGGAAGGAGGAACCGGGCATGCCTATGGAGCTCCTAGTAAAGGCTCCTGATAAATTTTTAGGAAAGAAAGTACCACGATGGATTCCAAGATACACAGTCATGCACCATACAACAGTGTTTCAGTCAATGAGGGACTGTGTATAAAATGGTGGTCCTGTAAGACTGTAATGCCATATTTTTACTAGAGTAAAAATATTTTCTATGTTTAGGTATATTCAGATACACAAATACTTACCATTGTGTTACAACTGCCTACAGTATTCACAAGTCTGCAGTCTAAAAACAAAACTATGCCATCTAGGTTTGTGTGTTTGCTCTGGTGTTTGCACAACAATGAAATTGCGAGATGACTCATTTCTCAGAATGTATCCCATTGTTAAAGAATGCTCTATTAGTCAAGGTTCTCTAAAGGGACGGAACTAATGGAATAGATATACATGTAAAAAGGGAAGTTTATTAACTCACAGGATCACAAGGTCCCACAATAGGCTGCCTGCAGGCTGAGGAGGAAAGAGTCAGTCTGAGTTCCAGAACTGAAGAACTTGGAGTCTGATGTCTGAGGGCAGGAAGCAGCCAGCACAGGAGAAAGATGTAGGCTGGGAGGGTTGTCCAGTCTCTCTTCACATTTTTCTGCCTGCCTATATTCTAGCCTTGCTGGTAGTTGATTAGATTGTACCCACCCAGATTAAGGGTGGGTCTGCCTTTCCCAGCCCACTGATTCAAATGTTAATCTTTTTTCAGTATTAACCATCACAGATGCATGACTGTGTAAGACAGTGCCGATCCTCCAAGCTCACACAAGTCAGTAAGCCCAAACTTACTGAAATAGCTCCTCTTTCATCTTCCACATCCACTTCTGGTTCTATCTAATCCATCTTCCATGAAGTATCTGGGGTGACATTTTTAAAATGTGTATTTGATCATGTCACTCACAGTTAGAAGCCCTACAGCTGCTCACTGGATAACTCTAAAATCCAAATCCCACAAAGCCCTCCTTGATCAGACCCCTGACCGTCTCTCTAATCGCTTTATACCACTCACTCTTCCCCCTACTCAGGAGGTTCCAGAAACACTGATTCTCTTTCAGATTCTCCAAGAAGGCATTTTCATTTTTCCCCAAGAGGCTTCACAATGCTAGGGATGACACAGCTGGAGTGCTGCTTCCTCAGCAAGCCACCCCCAAGGCCCCATCTGGGTGAGGCTTCCTCGCCATGGCACTTGTTCCAAGCTCTGATCACAGCCAGAGTTCCAAAATGACTGAGGAGCTGTCTCCCCGACGAGGCCACGAGCTCCCAGGACCAAGTCTGCCTTCTTCACGATGGGACCCTAGCGTACAGCAGAATGCTCAATGCATGCATTTCTGATGAAGGAGAACATGAATGAACGTAGACAACAAACGAAAAAGAATCATTACCATCAGGCAGGCATGAGCTCTAGTGCCCACATCGGAAGTGCACTGGAGTGCATCTGATAACGATGCCCTCCAATGCTACAGGGGACACTGATCCCAAGGCGAGTTGCCTTCTGGCCACACATGCTCCTTGCAGCTCTTCCTTGCTGTTAAGCAGTAAGTATCCTAAGAATGTGCTTTCAGTTCTTAAAAGGGCATCATTTTTCTGTTCCATTATTCATGTCAATGTGTGCAACAAAGAAAATCCGCTGAGAACATAAAGGCTTAGAATGTTTATTGAAAAGGAATGAGGCCTTATTAAGAAGAATGTCAAGATCATCGGCCTCTGGACTCTCCCTTATCTAAGGACACTGGGGACAGCAAGTCCTAGTTAGCATCAGCCAATGTCATCCCAGCAGAGCCTCCAGAGCCCACTAAATGGCACCTGAATCTGAGTGGCAGCTGGAGAGAAGCATGAGGCCTCTGTCTCAGCTTTGTTGGAGGCTCACAATTTTGCAAAGTACCTTCATGTTGTAGAAGGTTAATTTACACTAGTTCAGCATCAACCAACATTTATTGAATACCAAGTACGTGTCAGGCTTCTTTCTACATATTATCTTATTAAAAAGGTTTCTGCAAATGAACCATCTGGTGTTGTCAGGGAGGAAATGTAAATCTCACCAACCAAGGGTACAGCCAAATAAGAATGTCTCTCTCCGAAAAATAACTTTCCCACAGGGCAGCGGCTATGCTTTTTGAAAACTTAAGAACCCTTACATTAAATCATGAAATGTAGAGCAGATGTTAACATTTAAAATAAAGATTTTTTTAGCAGACAATTTCACATTTCCTAATAAATAATATTTGCTAGTTGACTAAACAAGAAACAGAGAGCTCAGAAGTGAAACAACTAATTGTTCTGTTTTAATTTTTTAGCTTAAAAAATTGATTAAAAAATAGTTAAGATGGATTTCAGAAGGAAGGGGTATTTCATAAGCCAAAGAAAACAAGTTGAGACCTGTCAGTCTCTCTAGAATCAAACGTCCCAGGCCAAACAGTGGGCACTGGGGAGGGCGGCGGCAGTCACTAGACATCGCCAAGTGTCACAGCGAGCCCAGAAATGTGTGTCTCATGAAATTCTGGTGTAAATACGGAACTACAAGCTAAAACAATGAGATGCCATTTTAACCATTAAGAACAGCAAATTTAAAACTCTGAAACTATTAAGCATTGGTAAAGAAGCGGGGCGGAGGGTCTGGCCCGTGTTGGTGATGGGAGTGTAAACTGGTATTCTGGAAGGCAGTTGAAAGTGCCTTTTCAATTTAAAATGTGCACAACTTTTATCCCTCTGACTTCAAACTCCACTAGAGCAATGGTTCTCAAAATGTGGTCTGGAAACCCTGGAACCTGAGACCTTTTCAGGAGGTTCACGACATTAAATCTATGTTAATGACACTGCGTTGTTACTTGCCTTTCTACTCTCGTTCTCTCATGACTGTAGGCAGTGCAGTTTTAGAGGCTATTGAGGTGGGTTATCACAACATAATGAACGAGAACCCAGAATCCAGTCATCTACTATGAAATGAAACATTAAGTAGATTTTCAAAGATAGAAAACAATGCTACTCTTACTGCTAAGTTTTTGTTTTATAATTATTTTTCATAAAAATATGTTACACCTGAACATGTAATGGGTTTACTTCAAATCAATCAATAAATATTTTAAAATCTATCAGTTTTAATTTCTAATATGATAAATACCAATAGACAACAAAAGCTCTTTGGAATCCTCAAGAAATTTTAAGGGTGTAAAGGGGTCCTAACACCAAAATGTTTGAGAACCACGGCTCTAGAGAAACACATTCTGCACGAAGAAGTACATGCAAGGATGTTCACTGAACCACTGTTTGTAGTAGGAAAAAGTGGAAGGAACATACTAGCCCATAAACAGATGGTTAAATGAACTGAGGTATAGTCACATGATGGAAAATTGTGGCACATTTAAAAAGATGAGGCAGATCTGCATGCACTAACATGAAGATATCTCTGGGACATACTAAAGATAAATGAGCAAATTGCAAAAAAATGAGCACTGTAAAAGAATATGCACTAAACAGGAATAGTAGTTACCTCTGGGGAAGAAACTGAGATTGAGGTGTGTCCACAAAAAAGGGTAGGGCTTTAATTTTTCCTCTTAATGTCTGAACTTTGACATATATAGACATTTGGCAAATTAAAATTAATCTGGAAAATTCCCTCCACTGCCATACCAGCAGTAAGGTGGGGGGACCTGCTGGGACCGATGCAGTGAGCACCCCAGGACAGCCATGGGGTGCCCATGAATGGGTCTGTCTCATTAGCTGAAGCGCCGAGTCCATGTATAGCCTATTTATCCTTCATACTAAAATATTCACCACCTTCCGAACCGATCTCAAAGTTGTAATCCTTTTCAAAGCATTTCTACTCTATTTAGCCCATCCATTATCTATTACAGCTTCCCAAAATTATAAGAACAGCAGTAATAGAACTTCTGACCAACCAGCTATAAATTGAGGAGTCCCACAACTGCTTCCTAGGGTTCATTCTGCTAGAGTGACTCACAAACTAAGGCAAACCGTTTACTTACTACTGTCAATTTACGAAAAAGGATCTTTTAAAGGATACAAATGAACAGACAGGTGAAGAGATACACAGAGCGAGGTTCAGAAGGGTCCTGAGTGAAGGAGCTTCTGTCCCCATGGAGGTGGGATGCACAACCCTCCCAGGGTGGATGTAACCTGGATGCCCTCTGAACCCTCTCCCTGGGTTTCTATGGAGGCATGGTTGTAGATCATGAGCCACCAGTGATCAACTCAAGCTTCAGCCCCTCTCCCCTCCCGTGAGGTCAGGGGTTGGGGCTGAGAGTCTCAACCCTCTAATCACATGGTTGGTTCCCTTGGCAACAAGCCTGGTTCACAAGGCTACCCAGGAGACCACTGCCATCAGTGACCTCATCAGCAGAGTGCTGGGAAACCAAAGACCAAATATTTATTATATATCAAAATAGTGTTCCTCATTACTATAATATTTTTAAAAGTCCAATAGTTAGATAGCCTGACAAGTTTCCAGTAAGGATCCTGCTGATAATGATGCTCTTCCATTAATTCAAGAGCCTTTTAAATATTTAATATATTATGACAAATTAATCTAAGGAGATGTGACAATTGGTGTCAAGCAAGTCACTCACTTAGATTGCTGAGCTTCAGTTTCCCTGCTCATGGTTCTAATATTTTATAACTGTAATTTACCTAGGTATCTACTCACATGTAAAAACAAGCCAGTATGAAAGCAGTGACAAAATGGATGGTCTGGTATTTTCATGAAAATTAACAGACCAGTGGAACAACATAAAAAGCCCAAAAATAGGATCACTTACTTGAGTTGACTATATGATTGGGAAATCATCACAGATCAATGAATAAAGAACAGGTTCCTCAATAAATGACAATGAGGGGATGATCAGCTAGAGTCTTGACTTATAGCACCAAAAGAACAAAACAGACTGTAGAGGTAATGTTCAAATAAAATCATTAAAGACCATTTTAAAAAGCTGATAGATCTAAGGATGGGCTATGACAGTCTAATTATAATGGAACTGAAGAAATGATTAAAAGATGGGTAGTTTTAATGACAAAATAATTTCTGCTTATCAAAACTTATACTGTAAAGGTTACTGAGGGATGGCATTGGGGAAATGGGGATGGTTAATGGGCATAAAAATAGAAAGAATGAATAAGATCCAGTATTTGATAGCACAACAGGGTGACTGTAGTCAATAATAACTTAATTTTACATTTTAAGATAACTAAAAGAGTATAACTGGATTGTTTGTAACAAAGGATAAATACTTGAGGTGATGATATCCAATTTCTCCTGATGTGATTACTACACATTGTATGCCTGTGTCAAAAAATCTCCATACCCCATGAATATATACCTTTACATACCCATGAAAATTAAAAATTAAAAAACGAAAATGCTTAACATAAACAGAATTCAAAGGAGATTGACAACTGGAAAAGAAAATACAATAAAGGCTAGCTAGAAAATATTTGAAACATAGAAACAGTTAATAAAACCCATTGAGAAACCAACATCCCCTTGGAAAAATAAGCAAAAGATAAGAACAGACAATTCACAGAAGCATACAAATGGAAAAAATACATATGAAAAAACATTCAGTGCTGTAACTGAATAAATGTGACTTAAAACAATGGCACACCTTTGTTCACCTATTAAACTGTGGACGATAATCCACCAACTTTTGCCAGCTGTGACGAAAGCCACTCCCTCAGCTGCAGGGAGAAGTGTCCATTGGGGGTCTATTCAGAGGGCAACTCAACCACACCGGCCAAGTCTTAAAAATGTCTGCGTATACTTTGACCTTGTAATTAGAATTATACAATCTATTGAAATACTGAGATCTTTAGAGAGGTGGTTTATTATATACAGGAGTGTTCTTCGCAATGCTATTTATATTACAAAAATTGTGAAACAGTTAAATTTTGACACATTTGCACAACATTCTACATGACTGCCAACAAAAAAATCAAGTGTACGACAATTTAAGAACATGGTAACATGGCCTTGACTTAGGTGTCTGGTTTTTTTTTTAAACTTTTTAAAAGTTACTGGAGAGAGATATATATATCTCCTGTACATATATTCCTGGGGGAAAACAGACCAAGACAGAATAGTGGTTATCCCAGGTGGTATTATAGATTTACCGCTATTTTCTCTTCTGTATTTTCTAGAGTAAGTTTTATCTTTATAATCACATAATATACATATATAAAATTTATATTTTAAAAAGGAGTGTGAGCTATATAGAGAATTTATTAAAAAAAAAAAAAAAAGAGTCCCCTCCCCACCACCCTTTTCATCCCCTACAGGTGTACCTGGTACCAAGCAGATGGCAGATTCTCTTTAGGCCCCCTTCTCCCCAAGCAACTAACGTCTCCCTGCTGCTCTCAGAAACCCCATGGCATGAAGCTGGGCCTGCCTCACCCAGAGATCCTAGCTCAGCCAGGGCAAATGCCCCCAAACTGCCTCCCCTTCTCTACTTCGGATCAAGCCCTCACTGCCTCAGTTAGGGGTTTGACAAGGATGCAATCCAAGGAAGCAACCACTGCAAAAAAAAAAAGGTGTTTGCATGGTTTTTTAAAGGGATGTTGCTAATCCAAACCTAGAGTCCATGAAGGTCCTAAGACCTATTTTCAGGTTTTATCTGTTTGTCTATTATTATTATTATTATTATATTTTTTGAGACGGAGCCTCGCTCTGTCACCAGACTGGAGTGCAGTGGAACAATCTCAGCTCACTGCAACCTCCACTTCCCGGGTTCAAGTGATTCTCCTGCCTCAGCCTCCCGAGTAGCTGGGACTACAGGCACGCGCCACCACGCCCGGCTAATTTTTTTGTATTTTTCGTAGAGACGCAGTTTCACCATGTTGGCCAGGATGGTCTTGATCTCTTGACCTCATGATCCACCCACCTCAGCCTCCCAAAGTATTGGGATTACAGGTGTGAGCCACTAGAAATGTGTAACACCTCCCCCCACTCTTTCTTGCTCCTGCTTTTGCCATATAAGAAGTGCCTGCTCCCTGTTTGCCTTCCACCATGACTGTTTTCTGAGGCCTCCCCAGAAGCCAGGCAGAAGCCACTAGGTTTCCTGTACAGCCTGCAAAACCATGAGCCACATACACCTTTCTTTATAAATAAACCAGTCTCTGGTATTTCTTCATAGCAACGTGGGAGCCACCTAATACTTCTATGTATCAAGTTTTAAGGACACATGGTCCCTGCCCTAAATGAACTTACAGTATTCAACAAATAAGCATGCAAGTAATTACCTAAATTCAAGTTGTGGTAAATGTTAGAAAGGAAACTTAGAGTGTTATGAGAACATGCATCATGAAGTTCAACTTAAAGTTGCAATTCTACCCCCTGAAGGAGGCCCTTTCTTTCTTAAAACCAAGGGCACATCAAAATGCTTCTTCCAAACTTCTAATGCAGTCACATTTTGCGGGAGTTACAGCTGGATAGTGTACAGGGCAGTGTTTTGTTTTGTTTTGTTTTGTTTTTCCACTTATTTCAAATAGGAACGCAGGAATGCAAAACTATTCTGGAAAATGATTTCGTCCTTCTGGAAACTGATAGTGCTGCAGTCTCCTTTCCTTTTAATGTTGGCAGGAGATAAATATTTACGAAGATTTTCATGCAAACAAGCTTTATGTGTGAGTAGAACTTTTGAGAGAATGTAAATGTCCATCATTAGTGGACTGCTTATATGAATTATAAGTATATTCTAAGCTATGGAATACTCTTCTATTATAAAACAGTGAGGTGACACCTACGTACTGGCTCGGAAAGCTCTCCAAACATATTAAGTGAGAAAAACAAAATAAGCTGTACACTTTATGTTAATACAGACAAAGTACAGCAATAAGGCTGCACAAAGTGTCCACCTACCTTCAGCACATGGTGAAAGAGATTTATGAATCCTTTACCATGATAATGTATTTAGGTACTACTTGTACAAGAAAAGCATTAACAAAGTAAAACATATATCCAACAGTAGACTCTCTGGACAGCACGCATCCTTCTGGAGGGGTTAGGAGTCTCTCTTGGCTCTTTGGTTAAGTGTGAGTTGAAGATGTTCTATTATAGGACCTATGCCATGAGACCCTAAATATTGGCCCACTCTGATAGACAACCCTGAAAAGAATCGATCTGCTTTGCCAGCTGGTACATGCTAAAAAGCAGCCTGAAGATATTCCCAAAGACAGGTCTAAATTCAGCCACAACGGAGTAGATAACTTAAGCCACCCAGTCGCTGACTCAGTGGCAGGAAGTGAAAGGGGAACTCCAAGTAAACCATATTGGAAGCAGCTGCAGTTATATCTGTCCTTTGGCTCACTGGGGCTGGTCCAACACCTGCCCTGTAATGATAGCAAAAGAGCAGCGCTAACTCAGAAAGACCAAGTCCTTCTCTGCCCAGAACGGTGGTTGCCCACTGGGAGGTCAGTCGGGGAGGGAGGCAGGGTCCCCGGCTGACCAGACACCCTTTCCCTAGCAGACTACAGGCTGCCCCAGCTCCCCACCTGGTCCAGCCAGCCAGACTCAGGGCAAGAAACATTCTGGCAGGAGACGGGGGCTCTCCTTCCCAGGGGATATGTGCCACGTGAGGCACCAGGGAATCAAAGCAGCCCCTGAGGCCTCGGGCCTTGTACAGCTCTAAGCACAGGGCACAGGAGGCCCTGTCAAAAGACCCCTTGGAACATGAATCCCATTTAGAGTCTGGTCGTTGACAGTTTTGTCTTAATCTAGGCTGCTGTAAGAAAACCCCACAGACTGGGTGGCTTAAACAACAGTTATTTTCTCACAGTCTGGGAAGTTCAAGATCAAGGTGCCAGCAGATTCGGTGTCTGATGAGAGCTCTTTTCCTGGTTTGCAGATGGCCCCCTTCTCCCCGTGTGCTCATACACCTTTCCTTGTGGCCACACTTGTGGAGAGAGGAAGAGGGAAGAAGAGAGGAAGGGGAATAGTGGGAGAGAGAGAGAAAGAGGGAGAGAGAGAGGAAGGGGGAGGGGAGAGAGAAAGAGGGATTTCCTCTTTCTCTAAGGGCATCCCATCATGAAGGTCCCACTCCCATGACCTTATCCAAACCTAATTACCTCCCAAAGGGATCTCCAATTAGCATCACACTGGGGATCAGGGCTTTGACATATGAATTTTGGGGTTGGGAGACACAAACATTCAGTCCATAACTGCAGCACACTAACGGAATTCATAACTTGAGAGAAATACTTCTAGAATTTCAGGGCTTGAAGGTCACGTCATGCAATCGTGCTTATATTCTACACAAGGTGTCGCCCAGCCATTTCCTAAACCGCTCCCCCTCAATGAAATGTGCTGCACCTCTAGAGGCACCTGACAGCAGATGTGTTAGAAATGAAGGGCCTCGAGGCACAGCCTCAGGGTACCCAAGCCACATAGATCACACTCATCCTTCTTCCACAGTACAGCCATTCTGCACTCTGAACACAGATTCTTCCTCATCACAAAAATAACACAAAAAGGAATCTGAGGCACATGCAATATAATCTGAGCTTATAAATCAAGTGGGACAACTTACCTATCATGGTGACGTGCATCCTTGACTGCTATCATCAGAGGCAGGTGTCTGGGAGGTGGCCAGGACAGGCCTGACCCAGGACAGCACTTGTATCATTAAATGGCACTCAGAGGGTGCACTTCCAAGCAACTGGGACCCTTATCCAGAACAACCCGTCCATTCCCTCAGCACAGCCACTCTGGGAGAGTTCCCTAGTGTGCTCTGGCACTTTCTTCACTAAATTTGTATGGAGCACTTGTTGAGGGCAAGACGTGATGGAAGGCAAGAGGAAGGAAAAATGAGGGCTGGTGAAACCACTCTGGTTTCTCCAGATTCTCCCTTCTCTGGCTCCCACCACACAGCTTTTCTAGCCCAAAGTCACAATTAAATTGAAACTGTCTTTCGCTGTGCGTCACTTATTTTCCCCCTACCCAACTGAATCTCAGGGGAAGCAGGCCTGCGGTATTTTAGAAAAGCCGAGTAGAAGTATCAGGCCTAACCAGACAGGTGCACATTTTAGTTCCTACATTCAGTCCTTAGTATCTCACTGTCTAAAAGCCTTCAAAAATGCTCCCAGGCACAACTCAGAAGAGTCTCCTTGCCACTCCCTTAGGAGTGTTTCTGCTTGTAATTCTCACTATCACAGGGCAGATCTGGACCAATGAGTGGCTGTGGACCACAGGCTGCCGCAAAGACTACCGAAGTTGCCCTCCACCTTGACCATGGCATCAACCTTGCTATGCCCCCGCCAGACCACATTACTTCTGCAGTGACCCTCAACCTGTGATTGTGGGCAGACAGACCAAGATCTGGTGAATGAGCATGACAGAGTCCCTTCTGCTCTCTGTCCCCAACACAGTCCCCACCGGCCCAGGCAGCCCCACACCAGTGCCTATCACGTGGGACCTACGTGAACTGCTGTGGGAGGGGAGGGGCCAGAACCTCCGAGGAGTGGACGCTTCACCTGCAGCCACCATGCTGCCACCCGGCAGGGTTTGATAAAGGTCAGCTCGCTGCCATGCCCATGGGTCTCTGTCCCTCTTTTCTGAGAGGAGCCCAGTGGGCTGAACTACTAAGAGAACGGGCCAAAGACTAAAGGGAAGCCTTTAATATGAAGCCAAGTATTTTATCATATGAGGACATTCCCTCTCTCTAACCTGCAACACTCCCACCCCCACAGAGGACCTGCTCTTCAATCTAAAACACAATCCATGCACAGTTTTGATTTAATGGATTACCTTTAAAGTAAAAAATCATTTATTTAAAGGAAAAATCACCACAAAGTTTCAACTTGAATCCTAGTTTACCAAACACCAGTTGACAGAGAATTTAATTTTGGGGAAGTCACTGGAAAATATAATTTATTTTACGCTTGAGGGGATTTTATATCACAAGAGATGAATTCTTATATATACCAGTTTATCATACAGGTGGAAAAAGGAAAAACATGTAATTACGGTTGATTTTCTCGTTTCTAATTTTATATATATACACACACAGCCCAACACAAACAGGAAAACAATGGGATTTGCTGTGCCCTCTTTCACGTGGAGCCCCTGGACCCTTACTTTGGCTTCCACCTCTACATATGACTATGCCGCTAAAGCTCCAGCGGCCACATGTTATCTTGCACATCTCAGCTTCAGCCAACACTGCTCCATACACTTGGAATCCTGCCTCAGGGGCCAACTCTGCCCTGAAACTCTTACCGTTCCTGAGTCAGAAAAAAACCCTTCTTTCTGCCTTCCCACAGCATTAGGCTTTAGTATACACTTCGGACACTGCCCAGGTTTCATGAATCCTGTATTAGGAGGGTTATGCGTTCAACTTCTCCACTAGACTGTGCTTCCAGAGAAAAGATTCTTAAGTCCTATGTGTGTCTGACACCCCATTGCCAAGGTACAGCATCATGCACACCAGAATCAATCAACAACGTCTGATGATGCCAAAAGCTATCACCTTTCATTCACTCAACAAATGTTTATAGAGTAGTTTCAATCTCCATGCAAAACATGCATAGACAGGTTATAAAGCTCTGTATTAAGTTCAACAAAACAGTATTCCAAGCACCAGAGAGGGAAGGAGTAATTATCAGCAGAGGGAGGATGAAGCCATGTTTTAAGTCTGCAGGCCTTATCTCAGCGTCTTCCTGGGGCTTGTGTTCATTGACCAATATGGTGGGCAAAGTGCCAGCTCCATTTCAATTACTTCACTCTCCCTTTATTGTTGTTCTCATCTCTTTTGGCTGAGTGTATACTACTAACTACACAAAATTAAATGCTGCATAACATGATCCCTCTCACTGTACCAACTCCATGTATTAGTCTATGTACCTCTCCCCTCTTCTCAAAAGCCCTTCTTCTGGTTTTATCTAAATGTATACCTGATCTAATAGGTCTTCCCTGGTCCTGTTAGCTTCATCCTACATGTCCGTCCTCCCCTGGAACTCCTGAAAACACTTCAGAAAACATGGGAGTCTGCTCGATAGCTCCTCACCCAAGTGCTTGCCAACCTTCACCAGCCTGGAGCTCATAGCTCAACACCTGTCTGGGTGCTGACTTACACACAGCTGAATGGTGTTACCTGCTAACAGATATGTTCTAGTGCCCAACTGCATAGTAAATTGCCACAGGGCAGGGAGAAGGCAGGGCAAGAACAAGGTCTCAAAATCCTTTCCCACCTCCCTCAGCACACAGTGCTATGTACACAGCACGAACTCAGACTCTTGCTAGGTAAAACCACTCCCAATACCCCCAAAATACCTCTCAGCCCACCAATTTAGATGTATCTAAGGCATTACAGGTGCAGGTGCCTTAGAGTCCCTCTAGTACACGCGCTAGAGGTGGAGATTAGTCATAGAGGGTGACTAACTCCTCCCTTCTGCCTTTCTGTCCCAACCAGGTACCCAAGACTTGCACCTCCAAGACAGGGACCATGCCTCTTTTACTCCCGGGTGCTTGGAGGTCAGCACCGAGTTCAGCACACAGCCAGTACTGAAGGAGGAATTGACTGAAGGGAGAGATTATCTCCATGACTCACGCTACTTGGTGGTTTCCTTTCAGCTGGAAGCCTCAATTCACTGTCAAATGGAAAGTTAAAGAAAATCCCGATGACTATGCCTATGCAAATGCAGGAAAACGAAAAACTTATTTTCCACCATGAATTTGGCAACTTCCTGCGAAACTGAACAACTTAATGCTGCAGACTGCAAAATCACACTCACCGTCACTCTTTCCTAATCAACTCTTCCCTCAACTTCACAATTCCCACCAACACCACACTCCAATCATCCATACAACCTCCACAGCGTGTTCAACCAGTACTGCCGTTCATGGCCTATGAAAAACTAGGTACTCAAGTGCTGCTTATTTACTCCTTGATCTCACAACAATCACCCACCTGTTTTCTTCCACTCTTCACACCTGTGCACAAGACTTCAACTGATGCCTTGCTCTGTGGCACCCAGCCCTCCAGGCCCCATCCTCTCACCTTCTTCCCAGATCCTAAATGCCACCATCAGGCTAGTATTTACTTAGTGCTGTTTTCAACCAGTCTGTCCTCTGCTCAAACAATAACTTCACAGTTCTGAAACCATCAGCCTGCACTCTTCTGTTCCAGGCTGACCCAGGACCATATTCACTCTCAGACTCCAGGAACTCTGACTTATCTTCCTGCCTTGGCTAGGACGGTCACTGTGTCTCTCTTTCCAGGAACATATAACATTCTCTGCCATCTCAAAACTTTAACAAAGGTCTTACTCCTGCTTATCCAAATCCCACCCACCCTCTGACAAAAGTTTTCCCAAAGTCCAGTCGCAATGGGTCCTCTCTCTTCCCCCTGCCACAGAACTGTATTTAACCTTCCTGCACTACCTTCCTGTTGGTTCATAAACACTCTCTCCTGTGTGGAAAGTCAGAACAGCTGATGAGGAAGATAAGCCACATAGCCACATGATCCTGCCCAAACCACCAGACTTTCCAATCTCACACAACAGTTATGAAGCTCAAATGAGAATTTACAGGAAGGGGACTTGTTCATCTCACATTCGTAAGACCGTCCAAGTGGAGGATCCCTCTAATGCCTGCCAAGTGCAGATATTTCCCATCATGCACAACCCTAGAGAGCTAAGATCTCAGCAAACACCAATTATATGTAAGATAGTGAAAGAACACACTTCTCATGGAGCACCGGTCTTCACATTCTCCATGTAGCCACTCAGGAACTTCTCTGGTGCAAAATTTTAAGCGGTTGCACAAGTACGTAGGAGACGGGGTGAAAAACGGGGACACTGCTATTTTTGGCAAATCTGGTGGCAAGGTGCCCATTCTAAGGGTGGAACATAAACTGTAAGCCACAATCCGATCAGTGGGGCATAAGGAACAAAAGAACTGAGGAGTAGGGATGCGAGCAGAGTAGACCAGGGTACCAGTGAAACAAACACCTGGGCAAAGAACGCTTTGGACCATAAAACCGGGACCACTGTCCTTCCTGACGCTCACTACCATCACAGCTGGGCGTGCCCAGGCTCGGGCCTGTGAGCGGTAAAATCGCAGCTCACCGGGCCAGACCGGGGCGGCCACTCCCCTCCATCCTGGGCGAGGCTTACCAATCGAGATCTCCTGCGCGAAGGCCAGCGAGATGAGCAGCAGCGGCAGCCCCACGGCAATGCATGTAACCATCTTGTCCACGGCCAGCTCCAGTCGCAGCCCCTTGAACTTAGGCTCGGTGGGCTCCTTCAGCAAGAAATCCGAGAACACGTACTCCGTGGCCAGGTGGGCGATGGCCATGGCTGCGGCGCGCCAGGCTCGGCCAGGCAGGACTTGGTACTGCCGGCGTCGGGAGAGCTGCGCGGCTCCTTCACCCTGTCACTGGCCGGGTGTGCGGCTTTCGCTTTCCCTTTGCCTGCTCCCCAGATGCTCCCGCATCCCGCCTGCCTTTATGTCTCGGTGCCTCCGGCTCCCAGCGACCCCGCCGGGCTCTCGCGCTCGCTGCCTCCGCCGCCGGCGGGGCGGGGCGGGGCGGGGATCCGGGCGCTCCGGTTCCTGCGGTCCCACCTCGCGCCCTCAGCCGGTGTAAGTCCCCGGGACGCGCGCGGCACTCGGATTCGCGCCTCTCCCGCGCGCCCGCAGGCGCGGGAACCACGCGCGAGACAAAGCGCTTCCCTCTGGCCCTGCGCCTACGCGTCGCCCCGGCTGCCGAAGGGCCCTCCGGGCCTGCCCTGCGCTCTCAGCCAGCCGCGCCGCCCTCTTCCGGAACCATCCGGGGAAACCGAGTACCCAGGGGCGTGGAGCTTCCGGAGACGCGGTGACGCGGGGCGGGGTGGGCGCGGCTGCATCCCGCGCCCCTCGGGCCCTCTCTCCGACAAAGGGATTTTCCCACTGAGCGGCACCTTTGAAAATTCTCCCGTCCCTCCCGGCCGCATTCTCCTCACATCCTGGCACCCGGGAATTTTAAAATCATTTCTGCAAGCAACTCTTTCTGTGGACGGGATGGCCCCCTTTATGCCCCACCCCTAACATTTCCAACACAGTGAAATGGGTTAGAAGGAGCTGTAAAAACTTCAAAGAAGAGTCAGTGCCGTAAAAGGCCAATGGAGCGGTGTAGACAGACGGTCCCTTGCAGAGGGAGCGCTGGACCCTTCCAGGAGCTCCGCGTGAGATGGTGGCGTGGAAACGCTGGTGAGTGTGGAGTATGACCCGTCTGAGGCCTGAGTAGCGCTGCTGGTCCCGTTTCTCTTTCCTCTGCCATCCCAATCAGAGCCTTGTTCTGGGAGCCAGCAGAGGGGCGGCCTGCAGGTAGGTGGGTGTTGAGGCTGCAGAGAGCTGCTTCTGAACAGCTCACAGGAAGTGGATGATAGAAAGGCAGGAGGAAATACTCTGACAAGTGTCCACGGAAATTAAGGCTGTTGAGGTAGAAATAATTCGATTTATCGGAAGCTAAATGTGAGGATCCACCCAAGAAGACTTACCAGCAAAGTTGGGCATGTTTCAAAATGTGTTACACGTTGGAAGGGTTTTAGAAGAAAGTTTAGGAAAAGGGAGGAGGACCCCTCATGTCGGAGTTGGGTTTTTTTTCATTGGAGGGTGCGGTACACACGTTACAGTCACTGGCTTCGGGTGACAACATACAGTCTAAAATGTTTTGTGCACAAGAATATCAAAGTTCATATGATTCAGAAACAAGTCAAGTGTTCTTTTCAATGTCAGTTTTTACATATTAATCAGTACATCAACAGTTCGAGGAACTGACAAAAAGATTTCAAGGACTCACAGATTTTTTACTCAGGGACAGGATCTAAGCCATGAATCATAAGACCTTTCTCAGATGGCTTAGTTTGGAAGCCCTGTCAAATGTGGCATGTAGGTTATCACCAGCAACATCTGAAGCAGGCAGGACCTGCAAGCACGAGGGCACCTTGGGGCAGGGCTTGGCTCTCTTCTCTGTGGGTCCACAGATACAAGCCTCAACTCCCACGTGTACCTCTCCACCCCAGCCTGGCCGCTGAACACACATCCAAGAGATGGCTCATAGGGCTTCAAACTCAATGACCAGGACTTCAGTCTTCATCTTCCCCTTAAATCTGAACTCCATCTTCCCCATCTTATTAAATGTACCGCCAGTCACCCGTGCACCCAAGTTGGAATCCTGGAGTCCATCTTCAACACTCCATCTCTCACGGCTGTCATAACCAAGTGTCAAATTCTCTTACTTCTCTCTCCTAAATATAGCAAATCTGACACCCCTCCACCTGCACTCCCAATACCCAATTCAACTCACCATCCTGTCTCCTAACCACATATAGGAAATATGTGCGACAGGGTCCCCATCCATTCTCCTCTACAGCTGCCAGGATGAGCTTTTCAAAGCTCCAGTCGGATCGTCTTTTCTACTTAAAGTGTACATTGTTTTTAGCATAAAATACAAATTTCTTAGCATGGCCTCTGCCTACCTCACCACCAGCTTCACTGCTTTCCTTTCAGTTCTTCAAGTTAGCTAAGCCCCTGACCTCCTCCAGGCTTTCCCACCCAAAACACTCCCCACAGTGGCCTCTTTGCCTAGCCCACCTTTATTCACCCTCCTGGCCTCAGCTCGATGTCACTTACCTTCCCTAAGTAGACAGACTAGATTAGGTCCCTTTGTGAATTTCTCCCATACTACTAGCAACACTAATTACTAGCTGTGAGTCTTGGGGAGTTCTTTGACTCTCCTGTGTCTCAGTTTTCTCATCTTTAAAAAGGTTGTACCTCTTAGGACTGTGGTAAGGACCAAATGAGTTAACAAGTGCCAGTGCCTGGCAACTTGTGAATCTAGGTACATATCATCTGTCATTGTTGCTCTCTATTTTTCCTTCTTAAAAAATAGTCACAATTACAACTCAACAAATATTTATTCATTTATTTAGTGTTTGCCACGCCTTTATATGATCGACTTCTTGAGGGTAGGTCCATGCCCATGTGTAGCACTTTTATCCTCAGCACTTAGCACAAATGCCTCACACAGAGTTGATGTTTTAATTCATAGTATTAAATAAATGTCTGAAGGCATCTGAACACTTTAAAGCTGGCCCAATTCACACTCACTTATCCATACATTCCAGGCATATATTAGAGGCTGGTGATGGGCCAGTTCTACGCTGAGTGGATGGGGAAGCAGAAATGAAATGAATACATTCCATTTCCTCAAAGACTTATGGCTTAGTGAAATAAGGCATGTACACAATTAACTATAATGCAAGGTAGAAAGAGTGATTATTGTGAAAAGTGGGGTATACCAAGGGAGGTGCAGAGAATAAGTAGGGCCTGGGAGAATGTGTCAGTTGGGACATTCAGAGCTGGAACAGGGGATTTCTGGGAGTGAGGAAATCATGAGTGTGATTTCCCTTCTCTCCTTGCCAAAATCTACTCATCCCATAGGCTCAAATGACCCCTTTTTAGGAAGCCTTCCAGGATCCTCCAGTTGTAATGAATCCTTCCCTCCCTTGTTGCTGTCTTCCTCTGGCTTCCAGTTAGTTCATTCTGCCTTCTGTGATGGGATGGTGGATTGCGTATCTCTTTTTTCATTACATATCAATTTCCTCTGAGGATCTGGGCTGAATCTCAGCAGTTGCATAAATTGCCCTCAGTTTTGGCAATTTTTTACTTTCAGTATGATGCCATTCTACTTTCAATGAATTTAAAATAGAAGCCAGATGGAGAACTTGTTGGGAAATAGGATGTGGAGCCACCGGACACTGGTGTAGGGCCAAGTCAAATATGAAAACTTGGGTCAGAGGAAGTAGTTCGGATTTTTTTCAGTAGGCATTAGGGGGTTTCTGGAAGGGAGGAATATAAAGGATGTTGTGCTTTAAGATGATTAATCTGCCAGCCATGTGTACAATGGACTGTAATGCAGAGAGTGGAGATGGAGAGGCTGGGTAAGAGGCTGTCAAAGTTTTGCAAAGGAGAAGTAACAAGGGCCCAAACTGGTGCTGTGGTCTGGAGGATAGAAATGAGTAGCACAGAAGGGTGTGGTAGCTAAGGGAGCCATTTTTCCTACTGTAAAAATCAAATCAGACAATCTGACATGTGTCACCATTCTTTGGGGGTAATGAGAAGGTAAGACCCTGAGTTCAACTCCTGGGTTTGTCACTTACTTGATATGTGACTACGGCTGTGTCCCTGGAAATCTGTAAGCCTCAATTTCCCTATTCTCCAAATAGGGATAATGCTTCCTACCTCTTGAGTTGTTCTAAGGATTAAATGTGATAATATATGTAACAGTACCTGCCACATTGGTGGCATTTAGCATTTGATAGCTGTTATTACCAACCACAGGACTTTAACATGTCAAATGAGAGTGTAGGTAACACTGTTTTTTTAAAACATAGACTTATCACTTGAGGCCAGAAGTTCAAGACAAGCGTGGGCAACATAGAAAGACTCCATCTCTACAAAAAGTTTTATTTAAAAAATAGCCAGGTGTGGTGGTGTGTGCCTGTAGTCCTAGCTAATCTGGAGGATAAGGCAGGAAGATTGCTTGAGCCTAGGAGTTTGAGGCCACAGTGAGCTATGATTGTACCACTGTACTCCAGCTTGAGTGACAGAGCCAGACTCTCTGCACACGCGTGCATATGTGCGCGCACATACACACACACACTCCCCCCAGAGAGTTCCCATATACCCCATTCCTGCATCCATTCTACACATGACTGGCAGATTAATCATCTTAAAGCACAAGACCTCTATTATTGTTGTCTTACATTAGCATGGTATATTTCTTACAAGAAATGAGATATCGATACATTAATTAAAGTCCATAGTTTATTCAGATTTCCTTAGTTCCCCCTAATATCCTTTGTTCCAGGAGCCCATCTAGAATACCATAGTATGGTTCTTTCATCAGCATGTCTTCTTAGCTCCTCCTGGCTGTTTCTCATGCTTTGTTTTTGATGAAATCACTTTTTTATAATTAGAACATACACTTAGGGATTAAATCACGCATCCTCCTCCCATGTCCACCCTGCCTCTCCCCTTGTCCCAGTATCATTTGTTAGAAGGAAGCCAAGGTGGAGGCCAGGTGCGGTAACTCACGCCTATAGTTCCAAAACTTTGAGAGGCCGAGGCCAGTGGATGACTTGAGGCCACGAGTTCGAGACCAGCCTGGCCAACACAACCAGCCTGGCTGACCATGTCTCTACTAAAAATACAAAAGCTAGCCGGGTGTTAGCCAGGCATGGTAGCACATGCCTGTAATCCCAGCTACTCAGGAGGCTGAGGCAAGAGAATCGCTTGAAACCAGGAGGTGAAGATGGCAGTGAGCCAAGATTGCACCATTATACTCCAGCCTGGGCAACAGAGCAAGACTCTGTCTTAACCAAACAAACAAAAAAGAAGCCAAGGTAGGTTGTGAACCTCATAGCCAGTCTCTTAGAACTCTGTTTTACTTGTTGGAGACCCTTGACATTTGAATATGAGAGCTTTTGCAACCAAAACAGTCTAAGTCAAAATAGTGAAGTTCAGTAGACTGCCTAATCTCTTTATATATTCATTCATTCAATAAATATTTGCTAATAAACTATTGTGTATTTGTACTATGATCTCTGCTGGGGATGCAACAGTGAGCTAAACAGGTCAGGGGTCCTTGCTTCCACAGAGCTACATTCCAGCCAAACAGGCAGACAAAACTTAAGCCAACAGACATAAAATGATTATGTCCTGTAATAAGTGCTGCAAAGGAAAACAGTGAAGATAGTAAATAACAGGGGGAAGGACCCACTTTACAGAGGGAAGTTAGGGGAACCCACATGTGAACTAGAAAAGCTAGGAGAGTATGATATTGAATACTGAGTGTCAACTTGATTGGATTGAGGGATACAAAGTATTAATCTTGGGTGTGTCTGTGTGGGTGTTGCCGAAAGAGATTAACATTTGAGTCAGTGGACCGAGGAAGGCAGATCCACCCGTAATCCATTGGCCACAGTTTAATCAGCTGCCAGCAAATATAAAGCAGGCAGAAAAATGTGAAAGGGAGAGATGGGCCTAGCCTCTCAGCCTACATCTTTCTCCCATGCTGGATACTCCCTGCCCTCGAAAGTCAAATTCCAAGTTCTTCAGATTTGGGACTTGGACTGGCTCTCCTTTTTCCTCAGCTTGCAGACAGTCTGTTGTGGGACCCTGTGATCATGTAAGTTAATACTTAATGAACTTATATATATACATACACACACATATATGAGTTTATATATCATTATATATATTATATTTTATATGTTTTATATATATTTATATAATATATATAATATATCATTATATATATAATGATATATATCCAGCTTGGGTGACAGAGCCAGACTCTATTTCTACAGGCACACACACACACCCCCCCCCAGAGAGTTCCCATGTACCCCATTCCTGCATCCATTCTACACATGACTGGCAGATTAAGCATCTAAAAGCTCAAGACCCTTATTATTATCCTCTTACACATATATATATTCTGTCCCTCTAGTAGAACCCTGACTAATACAGAGAGGGAATGAGGAAGCTAGAGAGAGAGAGCATTCCAGGCATAGAAAGCAGCATGTGCAAAGGCCCTGAGGCAAGAAAGAACTAGCAGGGTATAGGAGCAGATGAAAGCTTGAGCAGAGTTGAAGAAGTTGGAGGAGTGGGCATGGGCCAAGTCAAGCTGGGTCTTAAAGACCAAGGTAAAGAGTTTGGATGTTATTAAAAGTGCAATGGGAAGACAGTAAAGGGTAGCGACCAGAGAAGGGATGAAATTTGGAAAAACACGAGGCAATGTGTGGACAGTGGTTGAAAGGAGCAGTAGTGATGATGGAGAGGCTGGTGTGGGGACCACTGCAATGACCCTACTCAAGCAAGATTTGTGTGAATCTGCAGCCCAAGGTCAGGGTTAGAGAAACACATTTTGAATTTATTCACAGAAAAATGGTTTTCCAATCATAAGGATGGATAAAATAAACTATGGAGTAGCTGGTGACACATTACCACAAACTTGGTGGCACACATTTCTTCTCTTACAGTTCTGGACCTCTGAAGTCCAAAATCAGTTTCAAGATATCTGCAAGGCCAACCTCCCTCTGGAGGCTCTACAGGAAAATCCATTCCCTTACCTTTCCCAGCTTCTGGAGCTGCATTCCTTGCATTCCCTGGCCCATGACCCCTTCCTCCATCTCTAAGCAGCATAGCATCTTGCCTCAGTTGTCACATTGCCTTCTTCTTCTGTAGTCAAATCTCCCACTGCCTCTCTTTATAAGGACACTTGTAATTACATATAGGGTCAATATGGATAATCCAGTATAAATTTCCTATCTTCAAGGTCCTTAAAGCAATCATACCTGCAAAGTCCCTTTTACCACATAAGGTGACATTCACAGATTCAGGGATTAGGACATGACATCTTCGGGGCATTATTCAGCCTACTACAGAGGGAAAAAAGAGAAAAGAGAACCCAGTGTCAAGTTCTGAGGCATGCTAACATTTAGGTCAGACAGAGGAGAAGGAACTAGCAAAAGAGATTGAGAAGGAATAGTCATTGAGGAAGAAGGAAGCCTGGCAGAGAGTCATGTTGCAGAGCCAAGGGACTAGAGACTCTGAGTGTTCAGAAGGAAGGAGCTGTTTCTTGTTGCTGAGAGGTTGAGTAAGATAAACATGGAGAAGAAGCCACTGGAAATGGCATCATGGTTGGTGATCTCTACCACAGCAGATTGGGGCGTGGGGGCTGGGCACGCTGGATTGAAAGTCATCAGAATGCGCTGAGGAATTCATGGGGTGAGGTGGTACAGGGACCAAGTGTGAATACCTCCATGTTCTGCTATCAAAGAAAGAGAGAAACTGGTTCAGAGGGGGTTATAGAGTTAAAGAAGACAGCTCATTGTTTTCTGTTTTTAGTGGCGGACATTGCTGATGATTTCATAGAAAGATGCAGGAGGAGGAAAAATGGACACCAAAGGTAAGAAGCAAGAAGCAGTGAGGCCCAAAGTCAAATGAAGAGACTGCCCTGCTAGGAGCAGGGACACTTGTATTTTAACAGGAGGGAAAGGTGTGTGTAAGTGAAGGCGTGAAGGCCAAGTTGATTTTCTCAAGAGTGAGGCTGAGAACAAGGAGTGTAGTTATGTTTGAGGAAACAATGTTTGAGAAGTCATATTATTTGTGGAGATACATTATTTTGTTTCTTTTCCTCTAACAAGTATCATTGGCATAGTCATAGCTCCTAAATATCTAAAAATTAATTCCCCTTTAACCACCTCCCCTAGTTCAGTAATAGAAAATTTTAAGTGAAAATAACCATGCAAATAGCCACGTTATAGGAAACTTTATTAAAACGAGAAATGATGCAATCAAACTACTTTGTGGTTTTGTTTTCATTAAAAAAATAAACTGAAAAGAAAAAAAACACAACAACTTGTCTTACTAAGGTGGGTAATAAATAAGGCATTTACCATAATTATTATGAAATTGCAGCCTACACATGTATGAAAACTGTAGAACATGTACTATGAAATCACATTGTCCACGGTTAGCAGACTGAAATTCAAAAGCTTTTGTGTATGGTGTTTAATATGACATTCAAGCAAACTATGAACAGAACTATTAGCATTTGTATCCTTTTATGTTAAGACTATAGCTTCTATCCAATTACCCATTTCCCCTCATCAAGATGAAGATGAGACAGTATGAAAGGCCCCTCCACCAGAATATTTCTTAGCTCCTTGTCATTCACTTTGACATTCAAATGACCCACTGCTAAGGCAGGCATACCAGTATCACTCATCTAGCATTGGCATTGGCATCTCAGGGCATCTCACCCAGAGCTAAAAGCAATTTCTCAGTCTTGTAATAAACAATGTTGCTTTTATCAATCTTACACCTAATGTCTAAGTATAGGACCGTGTAGATTGCTCATAATGGGTTGAGTTTTGTTGTTCAATAATTTTTTTTGCATTCAAACCTTGGAAATTATTTATTAATTTTCAAAGCTGGTTTAATGGTTTAAGAGAATGTGCCACCAAGATTATCTTTTTCTCACCTTTCCTTTTCCTTTTTTTCTCCTTCCATAAAGGGGTATATCTTTAAAAAGCACAGAATGTAGGATCTTCAGAGGTCCCTTCTCCTATCCAGTCACCTACATTGATAAATTCCTCCTGGTGTTTCTCATACAATGAGAATGTTATTATTTCATAGAAGATGGAGACTTGTAAAGATTTCCTCTAACTGATTGAAAAAATCAAACTCCAAATTCGAGCCCGGACTTGCCTCCTGCAAAGCTTCCCTCCCTTATAGAGAACTTGCTCTAAACTCTCAGGGAGTCCCTGCTTCATAAAGGGAGAGCCTAACATGTTGTTTTACAACTTTCAGCCCTCCCACAGTCTGAAGTAGAAATACAATTTCTCTACTTGATTTTTGAAAGTACAAACATTGCCATAAAAACATATTGTAAAAACATGTAGATATTCAAGTATTTCTACAGGTTTGAATAAAAACAGCAGCAATTAAAAAAAAAAAGCTTATAACTTTGCTTTTTATAACAAGCAGTGCACAGGCTATTTATATCAAAGAGGAAAAGGCCAGGAGAGCTGGTTAAAGCCTCCAAAAAATTTATTTGGTCTAATTCTCAGCAGACACTGACTTAGACATTTCCAAGAACTCCTAAGAAAGATATTTTCCATAGAACAACAAAGGAATGCATGTTATGCAACAATGTTGAAAAAGTTAAATGTCTGAGGCACTCTAACTTTTTCTAGAAGCTGTTCATCTAGAAACTGGTGGTTAGCTAAGAAAGCACTGTTTAATCTAGGAATTATAAAAGATGGAATATAAAGATATCTTTCTGAGGGTCTCCCATTCAGTGAATCCATCCAGAGAACAGACTAAGAGTTGACATTGTCAGCCATGCCCATTCTCCTTTTTCTGTGTTTTATACCTGAGGATTATTCACAGCCCATTTAAAAATAAATAAATAAAAGCAAATTGCTTTGGATGATGTTTCAGAGGATCAGAAGGCTGATCCAGGATACAATGTCAACCTTCCTTGGTGAGTGATGCCTTGGTCCAGTTTCCCTGTTGGCTGCCATCTGGCCAGCTGTGGGACATCACCCTTTCCTGTTGAGGGAGACCAGATGGTTCACAGAGCATCTGTGGGGAGAGCACAGGACTGGACTTGCTGGTAATCTGTCTGCTTAATTGCAGAGCGGAGTCTAAGGGAGAGAATCACCGTGGCAATTAGAAGGAGGAGTCCAATGATGAAAAGGATGACCAAGGCTGCCTTAGCTCCCGTTGGACCCAGATTCTTGCCAAAGAAATAGAGCTGCTCCTTGCCAGGTCGTTCTGTGAAAAAGATAAAGTTGTCAGGCCCCTGCCATTCTTGAGGAGTGAAATGTTGACTCATTTACATGGGGAGAGGGTATCATTACCGTTAGATGGCACCGTGGCTGGGTGAGATGCCCCTCCAGGAGATATGGTGGAGTAAGGAATCCTGTTGTCTGCACAAAAAGAACAAGTTGATTGTTTTATTAACAACAGAAGGCGGTTCTTTTCATGACATGAGTCATTTCATTTCACCGGCGAGGACTTATTCCGTCAGCATCTGCCAATCATTTATGGATTCTTACTGTGCTACTTCATTCCCATGTACATGCTTTCCTGCCCCGTCTGTCTTTCCCACTTCTGCTCACCCACTGAGTCTATCTGGAGCATCATGGCCTCTGTGAAACTTTGGCTCATATCCTCCAACTGTTACCCATTCCCTCCTACTGCTGCCAGTAAGCCCTGTACTCTGCATTCTGCTACGGCACATAGCATACTTGATTATAGTTACATATTTACATATATGTCTCTCTTACTTGACTCTGAGCTTGTTGAGGGCTACATCTGGGTTTTTATCATGCCTCCTGTTTTCAGGGTCTACAGGAAGCTTGGTGCCATCATCTGGCATCATTGACAGATAACAGTACCTATGTTACGAAGGACCGTGTAGGTTGTCTCCATGCCAGCATGGATGTGGTCAGACACATGACAGTGTAGCAGCCATGTCCCTGGGTGATCTGCAAACAGTTCAATGGTTTGGAATGTCCCAGGAAAGAGATCATACACATCTTCTCGGTAAGATTTATCTATCTGCAAAAACGTTTTAAAAAACAACAGCTAGTAGCCTTCTTTGCTCAGAACAGCAAGAAGAGAAAGAAGAGCAAAAACAAATAAAACCCACAGTAAGCAAAAGGAAGGACTAAGAAAGAGCAGGAATAGAAGTACAATAAAGTCAAAGAAATCTAAAACTGATTCTTTGAACAGATCGATAAAATCAATAAACTCTGTAGTAGCCAGCTTCCATCATGGCCCACAATGATCCCCACCTCCTGGTATTCATAACCTTTGTAGTTCCTACCTACATTGTATAAGGGTTGGTATGTGCAATCAATAGCATGTGGAAGAAGTGCTGGCATTCCAATTCCAAGATTAGGTTATCATTACTTCTGTCTTACATATTCTCTCGCCCTCTTCTCTTGGATAACTCACTGGAGGAAGCCAGTTTTCATGTCTTATCCACATGATCAGGAGTTGAAGCCTCTAGTCAACAACCATATCAGTAAGTTTGGAAGTAGATCCTCCAGCTCCAGTCAAACCTTTGAAAACTGCAGCTCCAGTCAACATCTTGATTGCCTCCTCATGAAAGATTCTGAATCAACCAACTAGCTAAACTGCTCCCAGATTCCTGATGCAAACTCTAAGTTTAGAGTAATTTGTTATGCAGCAATAGATAACTAATACAAATCTCTGGACAGACTAACCAAGTGAAAAGGGGAAAAGACACATTAGAAATACCAAGAATGAAAGTGAGGACATCATTAATATCTTACACACATTAAAAAGGAAATACTGGACAAACACCTCTTATCCATAAATTCTACAACTTAGATGGTATGAACAAATTCCTTAAAAGACACAAACTCCTGAAGATTACTCAAGAATAAATTGATAACCTGAATAGCACTATATTTATTAAGGAAACAATTGCTTCAAAATATTCCAACAAATTAAACTCCAGATGGCTTTATTGGCAAATTCTACCAAACATTTAAAGGATAAATAATACCAATTGTAAAAAAACTGTTCTAGAAAATAGAAGAGGAAAGAACATTTCCAACTCATTTTATGAGGCCAGCATTACTGTGATACCAAAACTAAACAAATGCTTTGCAAGGGAAAAAAGCTACAATCAATACTCCTCATGAACATAGATACCATCATTCATAACAAAATACTAGCAAATCAATTCCACAAAAAAGAATAATACATCATGACCAAGGTTTATCCTGGGAATGAAAAAGTGTTTTAAAACTCCAAAATCAATAAATCTAATTCAGCAATGGATTAAAGAAAAAGCATCTGATCATCTCAATAGATGCAGAAAAACCATTTGATAGAATTTAACTTTTGTTGATGATCAAAACTCTGAGCAAATTTAGAAGGAAACTTCCTCAACCTGCTAATGGGATCCACAAAAAAGCTGCAGCTAACTTTGTATTCAAAGGTGAATGACTAAATGCTCCCCTTGTAAGATTAAGAACAAAGTGAGGATGTCCACTTTCATCACTCATATTCAAAATTGCACTACAGGCCCTAGCCAGTGCAATAAGACAAAAGAAATGAGAGACATACAGATTGAAAATAAATGAAGCCATGTCTATTCACAGACAACATGATTGTCAGCTTGGAAAATCCCCCTAAAATCTACCAGAAAACTATTGGAACTAAAGTGAGTTTAGCAAAGATGCAGGATACAAGGTCAATATGCAAAAATCAATTATATTTCTAAATATTGGCAATAAACAACTATAAATTGAAATAAAAACACTATCATTTACACTATTACCAAAGCCTTTTATATACTTAGTTATAAATAAATATAAGAAAATATATGCAAGATCTCTATACTCAAAACTACAAAATGCTGATGAAACAAATTAAAGAAGAGGTAAATGATAGATATACCATGTTCATGGATTGGAAGCCTCAATGTTGTTATGTCAGTTCTGTCCAACTCATTGTATAGATTTAGTGCAATACCAATCAAAATCCCAACAGGATTTTAAAAATCAAAATCAACAAGTTATTTCTAAAATTTATCTGGGAAGGCAAACATCTAGAATAGCTAAAACAATCACCATCTGATTTTGAGACTTACTGTAACACTAAAGTAG